TAGATGAACCCAGCATTGCTTCTAAAATACAAGTTACTGCAAGTGAATAAGTACAAGTACCTTAGTAATAGAAATAACATCAGTAAGGGCAGAGGGAATTCTGGAAGGAAGGTGGCCATTTATAGCAGCGTGGGAGAGCAGCTCATTCGGTTTGGAGTTGTGGCCTTCCGAAAATATTCTGTGCAGTTCCCTAGTTGCAATGGTAGCCGCCTTCTCGTACACACGCGAATTAGGCACGTAGCGATTTCGGACACTCGAACAGAATCGAAATTACTTCAGACTACTTTAACACATTGACGACCGCGCGCGTTTTGGCTTTTTTGGCCGTGTGGGACCGGGCCGATTTTGCGAGTGCGACCGCCGCACCTCGGATCCGTGAATTTTTATTGATAACTTTTTAAAGCACCAGTGGTACAAAAACATCTCAGTAACAGTCAATGCGTAGAAGGTAATAGAGTATATAGTGACGAAGTTCCGATTAAAGAACATGTAATGGTAATGAAAAACTTTACTTAATTAAACAACGAGGTATCAGGAATGATTGGTCGATTTTGGATACCAGCATATATGATGCACCTAATTATTCATTCTCTAACAAAACACATTCATATTGTGAGTGCCACTTTTATAATTAATTTTTTTTTACTTTTCCTTTACTTTTTTGGAACTTTTAACGCTCAATTGTACAGCAGACCGCGTTCGTCTAGAAGCGATGTGTTTGCAGAGTATGAACGCGGCGTAGAACAGCGCAAGGTTGTCGCAAGATCCGTACGAGAGCAACGAAAATGCAGCGATGTTCGGGTTTACGGACTACTTGATTTTTCCTCAATGGTCCTGCCGCGATGGCTAGAGCACAGACGATTAGAGAATGCCCTAGGACTAAGCCTTGGAGAGGAGAGGGACCCGCTAGAGAGCGCAGAGGCGGTAAAGGGCTGAGTTCAAGTAGTCCGTCAACCCGATGTTCGCCGTGTGCTGCTTGGGCGCTGCTAGTTTTGCGCTTTCACTAAGCTGGATGGGACGAATAGAATGAAGTGAAGCGAAAGAGTAAAATGCAAGCCTGAAACGTTAGCTCCACGATCGCTACGCACAGTAGGCTGCGTCGGCGTTATTGTTTCAGACTTTTGCTGTACACGGGAATACTTTTAAGGCATATTCTACTAAGAAACTGTTGTGATTCTTGCATGCTGAAATGAATGTAGCGGACAAAGTTGAACGGCAGTGAATGCAAAAACTGAGAGGGCTCCTCCATTTTCTTGTTGAGTTATGAGCCACTAAGCACGGGGGAAGAAGGATGGGTGGAAGATCATTACGGAAGAGAGGGTGCAGACACTCGTATTTGCCAGAGAGGTAAAGGTGAAGCGGTTGAACCGCTTAATGCAAAGCTTTAGTGCCATGGTCGCGCCTTCCAAGGTGGGAGATTGAGACAATGGACAGCTGTACCCTACCATCTGGAAGAATTTATCCAGCAAAAGTCTCTGTGGGTGTGCCTTCGAAGGAGGATTCACGATAAGGTCGGAGGCTTAAATAAGAGTGAACCTACCTTGATGAAAAGGCAGGCGAACCCCCTAAGGGTGCGCACCGACACGCAATTCGCAGCGAAGGATATGCCCGGCGATCTAGCATGGCCGTCCCCGCGCCGCTATCGCCGCTGCCCGCCCACCTCTCGCTGTATGGCTCTAGCCGCCTAGCAGGGAGAGCGTTAGTGTTGATTAGGTCAATACCGATAAAACACGGCTAACGCGCTAATCAGCGGGCAGAAGATGATCCCAATCTCAAATTCTAGGTTGTTTTTCTTGGTTTTTTCTTCATACCTTCATCACTGACCACTTCTACCCTGATTTGGTGCTGCCTTTCATCGTACCACTTCAAGTAGTGGTACTGGGTTTTTTCCGCCATGCACTGATTGTAGGCTATTCAAGGCCTAGTGTTTATTAGGGTCAGTACTGTGAAAGATCAAATGTAACAGCGAAGGCGCACTTGGCGACCACTATATTGCGCAGGACCGCTCGCTTGGCCCGGAGTATGAACGCTACCGCTATGATTCCTGATCGATGTGCAGCAGGTCTTCATTATCTATTGTCTTTGAAAGGTACTGCCAGCTAGGGAGGTGGAGCGAAATGGGTGTAGGAGGGTTCTTGATTTTTTTTTTTTTAGTAGTGAAAGCGTATAGCACCCGCCATCCTCATTACCAACGACTTTTGACTCACAACTTGGATCTTTCCGAGCTTCTAAGCAGTTTGGGTGGCGAATTCCCAGTACTGGCTGATAATCATTGCACCACGATCGTCTTTAATGATATGATTGGTTTTCGAGACGTTGCGATTAATCGTAAATGAGATATTGTTAGTCTTTTTGAACATTTTCACACGTCTGTGTTCGGTATGTGCCGCGGACTATAAATACTTAAACAGACGCTATTGCATTATCAAGCCACTGAATTGATAATTAGTTCAACAGTTTTATTTTATATTCGACAAGTTATCGCACATCTATCACTCCAACGCATTGAAATTGAACTTGAAGAAACAACAATCAGAATATTTCTCGCTACAGAATTCCTCTATCTAGCACCGATAATAAAGTTCCCTCACCAGACTCAACAGTTCGAGTGATGATCCTTACTATCAGTCATGCGTTTGGAAATGAGATCCTACTTCGCCATTCGAGAGCACTATCGGCAAGCCCATTCCGATTGCCCAAACGGCTCGAAGAATCGTCTTAGATAGCTCGACTGCCGCAGCGATGAAAAAGAAAGGTATACTCGACTTAAATCCTATTGCTAATTATCGATTTCGTTGCACAAATCCAAAAACTGATTGTCTCGCGGTATTAGGCGACACCTTGAGGCTTACGTGGTCTTATATTGGCACGCTGCGATGAACTGACCTTTCTGCGAGTATTTTTACACATTATACTTTGAGATGTCAGCGAATCGCGTTTGCTTTCTGTCCACCGCAAGCTAGGGCATTTGAAACCGGTTGGTTACCACTCTAGTTCCTCATAACCCTACTTTCTACGGAACTACAGGCATATTGTGGAAAATTCGTTTGAAAGATTGGATGTATTATGTAATACGGAAGCTTAAGAGAACAACTAACTTTCGGGATGAGAATTCACCCCCCGGAAAAGCTTGTTAACTTATCAAACACTTTCTCTTTATAGTCAAACATATACAAATCTTTCTCAATGAATTTCAAAATATCCAAATCGTGGCAATAAACGAACACGCGCGAAATTTCTGCGGCGTTGAAGGCGACTCCAGGTAGTGGTTGATTTTTTGAACCATCAACTAGCGGTGCCTTTTCAACTCAATCAGTACGGCCATGTTTAACTAGGCCGATGGGTGTTTCAATCAATCAGACGTGGTTCATTGGTCGAAAACTCATTCGGTTTAGTTTAAGAAATATAAGGTATTTGTAGCTTGCAGCGACCAGATTGCATCCAATATCAAGGGTGATTATGGCTTGCCCCATCGAAGTGGAATTTCATAACATCAACACCCATTCACACCTGTATAGTAGTAAAAGAAGAGCAGTATTTATGTTGAAATTTGGAGTGAGGAAAGCGGAGAAGGGAGGAATAATAGTGCGGCTTCACGTGCGTTCAGTTCGGGGACTACGTCAAGCCTACCAAAATCTAAATGCGCTCCGTGCTGTTGCTAATTTGTTTGTGGGAATAGGGTCACCCGGGCAAATGATTGTCGAAGTTCATTTTGCATTTGAATTCCTGCGATTCTGAATAAGTAGTAGGGTCGTGGAATAGATTGATGCAAGCATTTTGTCGTTTTTCCATTTACTTTGATTATGCAGGGTTATATCTGCAGTCCGCCTACTTTGTTTGTGCTTATGACACAATACATTTCTCACATTTTTTTGCACAAATATCTAGTGAAATTGTAGGTGGATAAGTACGAACCGCTTCTTGACGTTGAGTGTGGCGAGGTTCGAGAAGACGCGGAAATAGCGGCTAGTGCCGATCGACCGTATGAAATATGGTTGGACACGGAAGGCACAAAAATTGAAGCTGATAACGATGTCAACGTTTTCCAGTCTTTCCTTGATCAACAGCCAAGCAAGGTCAGAAATACTTTAATTTTTCCCTGAGTTGTTTTTCTTTGACAGTTTTTTTTCTGCAGTTTGGTAGTGTGGAGTGGTCAATTTTGATGTTCAATCTGATTATAATTCTTCTTTCTTTCTTCTTATTTTGGTTTTTTTAGTTACATCGGCGAGCTATTTCCTATGTGATCAACACTGTCGGCTTATTAATTACAAAAATCGGTATGGAGTCATTTCCGAGGTAATTATTTCTTTCTTTCTCCTTTTTTCTTCTCATTCGATCAATAGAAATTGCAAAAGTGTGATAGATGCTCGCAAAAGAATGGTGATGATGTTAGTTTTCAGCGTGTCGGAACGAGCTATTGGCCAGCTAGCCGCGTTGGTGGAACAGGACATTTCCCCGGTCACAGCTGGACAACTTGTTCAAATTGCAGCGCTGTTCATCTATGCAGTGCATTGTAATGGAATTGCTGGTTAGTTGATTAAGTCTTATGATGTTTGTTCTTTTTTCTATAGTTCATTGCTTACCACCGTGCCCATCTTTTGGCTGAAGTTCTCCAAGCATTTATAATGATTCCGGTCAAAAGAATCGCAGCGCCTAGTACATTTATAATGGTTCCGGTCAAAAAGGGTCGCGTCGTCCTATTCCAGCAAAGCATTTAGTCCCTTGTCAATTGCGGAACTTCTTAAAAGCACCACCTTTCAGCAGATTGTTTCTACCAATATCAATTTTCTTACTTGTTCATTTGAAGATGGTTCACATTTAGTTACGACATTTCCCCTTTTTGTTAGCATTCATATAAGAAGAATATGTTGTTTGACCTTTCAAGTAGCTTCAGGAGATGAGGACGTGTGCAGTGTTCAACAGCAGCAAGCAGTTCACGCTCTTGTCAGTGTGTTTGGTGTATTTCTGCGTCCGATAGATCTGAGGCTCGCTGAAGTCAATTCATGGATCAAAGGCTCCTCTGAAGTGCCACTGGTTGTAAGTTTCTTCCCTTGTTTTTTTTTACTTATCAGGTATCTTTTCATCAGTATTTCTATCATGAGTGCTTTAACCTTACAAGATCGGCAAGCCACTCGTGGACTAGAGAGTTTTCGATTTTCGAAGTATTGGTTGAAGTGGGGAACAATTGGTTGGGTCGTGGATCCATTCGTTTGTGTATTTGATCGTTATGTCTCATTTAACTTCCATGAGTATGGTTTCCTTTCTCAATCTGCACTTTCGGATGTCTAGCAAAAATATGTGAAACTGTAATGAAAGAAACTGTGATTTAAAATTCTAGATGAGATTTCGGAAATGATTGCAAGAAACAGTTCCACCTTTTGGTTGACCCGTGTGATCTGACTGTGATTCGTTTCTAATGAAAGGATATTCAGGTGTCACGTGTACTGCCAGCTGTTTGTGTGCTTTGTGAGTGGTTCTCTTGTCCACAAGCGTCAGCCATATACCGAACGATGCCATCGGTCGAGCCATTGCCGACGTCCATAGTTGACATTGATACCTGGCATCTACTGGCAAACATCGCCAATGTGCTGGCTCGATTGCAGGATGGTGGCGAAATGGTGAAAATAGAAAATAACGCAGGTATGATCGAAAGAGAGTCGGTAAGGGTACAATCCCATACCCTAGGGGTAGATGTTATTTTCCAACCAGATTGAATCAAATATCTCAATTTCAGGCTCAGCCAAAACGTGCATCCTGCCTGAGCTTGCATATTTGTGTACCACCGATGCGAACAATGAAACAGCGGACTCGGTATGTGAAGATTTTAATTTAGACTTCTGCCTTTATCTCTTGACCGCATTGATCTGCTCGAATCGATTTTACCGTTGATGTCTTTAGCTGATACCGGTTCAAATACGTCTAGCGCAACTTCTGCTGGCCGCTGAGTATTTAGACGGCTCTGATCTGTCATGTTTTTTCTTTTGCGAGAAAACGGGACGATTCAAGCGAAGTGACCATGTTGAAGGTGATCTGAGAGAGCGTTCAAAAGCCATACATGCTCAACGAACTGAGGTAATTTCCTTGACTCTTTTGATTCGTAGAAAGCCTGAAATTGGAAATTTGAATTCCCTGTCAGGAGTCGCCGAGGGTTCCAACACCATTGACAAGGGAAGAGTTGCTCGAACGAGAAATGCGCAAGCACGAACAGTTGTTAGTGGTGAGTATTAGTACAGAGCATTCTACTTGTTACTGAATAAATAACAATGTAGCATTTTTACGATATATACTAGTTTAGGTGAAACCAGTCTATTTGGTTATTGATACGAACGCTTTCATTGATCAGTTGAGCGCTATTCAGAAAATTCTGCAGTGCGAACGTTTTCGAGTACTGATTCCAACGACAGGTGTGTTCAGTCTTGTTGTGCATGAGAGCACCAAGTCTTGATTGACTCTCAGGGACAAATTTTCCTCACTTACCACTTCTTTTTTACGAGAAGAGTTTCAGTGATGGAAGAGCTAATTGATCTACAACATGGTGAACTAAGAAGTTCGCGAGTACAAGGACCGACCGAAGGTGCACGACAAGCAGTGACGTGGTTACGTGAGCAGACCAGGCAGAAGAACGCACGTCTGTTCACGTTGACGATGCGTGGACGCCGACTGCCGATCGCGGTGGTTCGAGAAGAAGCCGGTGACGATGGTGAAGTGGTACGTTATATTTACTGTCTTTTCATAGCTACTGAGACCTGCCTGGTTCATCAGAAAGTCACCCACTACGGTACTGTAGCGAGACAGTTTTTAGCATCATAGGAGTTCCCTTAGGTCTCAGAAAATATATAAAAAAATCTTGGTTTGATATGGTTTCCCGCTCCTCAATTGGTTGGCCCGAGTGGAAATCATTTGCTTACTGGCTTCGTAATTGTTGTATTTTTAGACCACTTATTCTTGTGATTGCGGAGCGAAGGCTAGTTTTTGCTCGGCCTTGTTTTTT